CATTTTACTTGTAAACATTAGAGCAAAATTCTTTGACAAGATATGAATACAACCTGGAGCAAACCCTTTTATTTGAAGAAAGAAGTTAATGAACAGTGATTCGGATCGTTTACTCAGAACAGTTGAGTATGCATAAAGCCGACATTTTACTCGTACTGACAAGCAAATCCTTCAAATCTGATACATCAGATACAGTAGTAGACTAATCTCTCAAGTCAAAGTTTTATTTTGTTTTTGATCATGGCGGATATAGTGAATGTGCGGGAAATAAAAGTTTATAAATCTTGTTGTCCTCTTACAAAGGAGTTTAAAAGTTTGTTTTGTTAGGAGCAAAATAAAGTGCTTTGGTTAGCAAATAATGTTTGTTGTAGGAGAATCTGTTAAATCTTGTGGTGGTGCGCTTTCGCCAGTAAATAAAATTGGAGAATTCTTTTAGATATCTGTATCATCCCGTATTTCACAACGGTATCGGTGAGGAGGAACAACGTGGGGAACAAAGCACAGTGTCAAGAGTAGTCGAGTGTTGTTGCCCAAGCTGGTTCTTCGATAAAATTTCCTACAACCGAACAAGAGATAACAGAAGCAAAAACTTTGTGGCAGTGTAAGTACCGTTTTCCTACTGTTACTCGACTGTACTCATGTTTGTATTGAGAAATTTAGAATTCGTGGTGATGAATATATAAACAATGTGCAAGGAATGACTTTCAATGGACATTTCCTTAAGTTTCTTCATTTTCAGAATTCGGGATTTTTCCAGTATTTTGGGGTACAAACATAATTCATTAGCAAAAAACAATATTTCTTTATTACAATTTACAGTTTGCACATTATCTGGTTTGTCATCACTTGATGAAATGATGACTTAAACATTATCATTACCACAACACACAAGTAAAGAAAACGAAACACAAGTTATCAAAGTTATTTAAACAATCCACCACTCGCAGGGTGACTACAGATATAGATGATTAAGGAACATAAAATCCCTTTATTTACAGGGAAACATGCGTATTGCTGTTGTGTGTTAAAAGTAAAACAGCTGATCAGCTGTTACTATTTAATAAATCAGATGTTACAGATTGTTTTTATGTGCACCAAGTTTTTCATTTACTTTTGATTCGAAAGATTTACTCGCTAGAAAAAGCAATTCATTTAGTATTAGTAAAGAAGAGAATACCCTTTAACTTGCAAAAAATCGAGAATATCCGAAGGATTTACTTCAAAGAAAAAGTAAATGTTGAGTTTTATTAATAAACATTTACTAAAGTCATGAGCAAAACCTAAACTTCCAATGGATTAATTTTTACTTGTTAAGTGAAAGGTTTTGCTTTCGTTTTTTTGGGTCCTATGCTGAAAAAGTATTTGCTCAAAATGAAAAAGCAGGAGTAAAAGCAAATGTTTCAAGTAAAAGGTTAAAAGTAAAAGATATTCCTAAAAACATGAGACAAGGTCGAAAAAGAAAATTGATTAAAATCAAACCAGAAACAAAAAAAGTTGATTGGTTGCTTGGGAAGAACAACTACTGGCAGCGATGCAGGGTGAAAGCAATCCAATAACTGCCAGGATTGGACCAGAAACAAAAAAAGTTGATTGGTTGCTTTGGGAAGAACAACTACTGGCAGCGATGCAGGGTGAAAGCAATCCAATAACTGCCAGGATTGGACCAGAAACAAAAAAAGTTGATTGGTTGCTTGGGAAGAACAACTATTGGCAGCGATGCAGGGTGAAAGCAATCCAATAACTGCCCGGATTGGACCAGAAACAAAAAAAGTTGATTGGTTGCTTGGGAAAAACAACTACTGGCAGCGATGCAGGGTGAAAGCAATCCAATAACTGCCAGGATTGGACCAGAAACAAAAAAAAGTTGATTGGTTGCTTGGGAAAAACAACTACTGGCAGCGATGCAGGGTGAAAGCAATCCAATAACTGCCCGGATTGGACCAGAAACAAAAAAAAGTTGATTGGTTACTTGGGAAAAACAACTACTGGCAGCGATGCAGGGTGAAAGCAATCCAATAACTGCCAGGATTGGACCAGAAACAAAAAAAAGTTGATTGGTTGCTTGGGAAAAACAACTACTGGCAGCGATGCAGGGTGAAAGCAATCCAATAACTGCCAGGATTGGACCAGAAACAAAAAAAAGTTGATTGGTTGCTTGGGAAAAACAACTACTGGCAGCGATGCAGGGTGAAAGCAATCCAATAACTGCCAGGATTGGACCAGAAACAAAAAAAAGTTGATTGGTTGCTTGGGAAAAACAACTACTGGCAGCGATGCAGGGTGAAAGCAATCCAATAACTGCCAGGATTGGAGGTAATTTTAGTATGTAAACAAGACAGTCTTAAATAGAACATGGTTAGTCACAGCCAAAAGCTGTATGGTATAAAATACCAATCTCTACAATTAAAATGAAACATATTGTTTAATTTATGACTCTTAACTAGTGATTATAAGTAATCCGAATTCAGAGTTGTCATGCTTCAGATTAAAACCTTTATTTTTTATAAATATGACACTATACCAGTTAGCGAGATCGCCCGGAATATGTAAGATAAAAATAACAATCGTTGCTGAAATTTTTCTTTAATAATTACTAACAGTAGGCTGTGGTTTTATGTTATTTTAAAAAACATTCTTTAATTGAAAAAAGTTGGTCAAGTAGTAAGAACCTTAAGTAGCAAAATATTGCTGTATAAATTATCTCGATACTAAACAAAGTTTGAATGAAATGTCTTACTACTAGGGAATTATCTCAACCGGGTAATCTGAAATCTATGAGATGCAGGACCGTAGTTGTTCAGTTGGACATCACGCTTCTTTCAAGTAATAAGAAAGTATTCGATAATTGCAGTTAAAAATTGTCTTAAGCAGTTTCGTCGCTTGGGTTAAATGTTAGTATTGACTTCACCCAAACATGATTCTATCTTTAAGTAATTTCCTAATTTAAGCCAAATAGTGTCCATTTTAAGTTTGTGGGCTTCTACGAGCTTTGTAAAACTTAACCTCTCTAACGCCCACTACCTCTGCCATGTTGCACTAAAAATCACCACACACCTTTTGCTTAAACGTATAATCTGCTACTGATAATGATGCATCAAAGTATTCATGTCAGTAATAAATTGATATGCACAAACTAGCCTATTATGTATTAATTTATTAATATCCAATATAAATTTCATTGTTCTGGATAACTTAACAACCTCCAACTCAACAACTTCTTAGGCCACAAATTGTAGAGTTAGCGAGGCTTTCCTGTAGCTGCTCATATTAGAGCGATGTCTACATTAGCATTAAAGTCAATGCTAGTTAATTAGAACGAAATTTGATTAAATAAATCATTGAACCAGCATTTTAATTTGTCGTCTGGATCGTTATCTAAATTTAAGCAGGTAAGGATGGATTTATACAAATTTAAGCTAAACACGTTTAAGAAGAAAAAGTACATATGATTAATGGGATCCATTTTTTATTGTTGTTTTGGGACTATACCTACATCTTCTGGAAAGAAAATACAATCAGTTTTTGTTTAGGTCAGGTAAAATTAAAATATTGGTAATTTTGTTAGGTTATAAGCAGACAAATTATTGCACTGTACATTGGGAATGATATTGTTGTGGGGTAGCACGCACGTGAAAAACCGTATGTCCTGCACAGTTGATAATATTTTTATATTTTTTACAAGGAACAATGTGATTAACACACACTATATTTAGTTCAGGCATCGCATTGCTCCGAAACACTTAAAACGAAAATTGGGTGTGATTAGAATATATATTATATTTTCAATATTAAAATAATCCCTAGTGCCTTGAGTATCTTTTTTCGACTTGATCTTAAGTTAAACAATCAATGTGAAACCTAAATTTGAAACTGATAAGGTTTGGAAAAACACTTTTAGTCCGCGTTGTGTATATTTTCCGTCATGGCTAGTTTTTTTAGGTATTTAACAATAATAAGCTAACACACAAAATGCTTCAAGCTTGTTTTCCTATTTAAATGTGTTGTGTTTTGGTTGTTTTAAAAATATTACATGCGTCAGGTGTTATTCTGCCTACAAAAAAGAAAACCGTTCTTGTATTAGGTACTGAACTATTCTTACATTCAAATATTTGTAGGCCCTAAGTATCAATAGGTTTTTATTGTACTAAAATATACAATGTAACATGGCAATGAAAAAAAATATTAAAAAAAAACTATTTTTATATGGTTTAGGTTATCTGTTGTGGCTTCCTAGTGAACATTTCTTCTCTATATGTATCAGTATAGATTAGTATAACTGTGTTAGTTAGGTTCTAAGGTTATGTACTGATTTTAACTCGTCCCTAACGCACAGTCTTTGCCTACGGACCATCCACTTTGTTTTGAGAATGTTAATTTCTGTTAAACTATTTTCTTCGGCAAAATCAAAAGCTGATATAATCTATTCGTCCGCATTTATTGAAAACAACAGTTTTCGCTTAAGTGCGACAAACATACTATTAATACACACATATGCACGTAATTTAAAAAAAGAGATTCAACAATTTTAATTTTACACGGAGAAATATAAATGTCTTAGTGAAACACAACGTAGGGTTATCAAAGGCGCACATTAAGCAGCCCAAACCAGTCTGTAAACGCCTTCGTTTAACCTGGGCCACACTAAAGAAACAATCAAGGTTACACCTCGTTTTCGCCGTTTTTACCTCATTTTGTCGGTTTTATTTCCGCCGGCAAGACGTTAAGGGAGAATTACCCTCTCCTTGCCCCATTACCGGAAAATATCTCGCAGCCTTTACGCCCTTCTAATGGGTTCTTTCTTTGAAGACCTGCTTTGAGAAGAATATTTCTTAGAGAAGTGATCGACTATTTCCACGATCGAGACTATTTTTTGTCACGTCTGGAGACAGTAATTGTGGACGGGCGTCTGTGATTGGTCGGTGATGTTGTGGGGGTGTGGAGGCGGCGCTGGGGGCGGAGCAGTCAGGCGCCGCGACGCCTCAGTAGCCCGTCGGCTGTCGTCGAAGGCACAACTCTCGTCGCTCGTCGTCAAATATTACGCGTGAAGGAAGTTAACTCCAAAATGGCATTGTTGCTACATAAACATTAGACTTGTCTATCAATTTAAGTAGTAATTATCTGAAATCGTAAGCAATACTACAGTGTTAAATATTTTATAAGCTTTATCTTAGTTTTGTATTTGTAAGGTTGTGATCTGTAAACATGATAAGTTTATTGTACATCGCCGTCATTGTTGGGAGCCTCTTCGCTCTACAGTTTTACTGTGAGTATATTTATTGCACGTTAAGCCATTAAGAGTACTTTCACTAATTTAAACATGTATAAACAAACATTTGATAACTGCTTTAAAGTAACATAAAACGATTTAAGTCTGAGCACGATACAATAAGTAGCCAAAATTAAATTTTCACTGATTTAATATGTCAATAATTGTTTGCTTAGTTTATGACCAACTAGAGTGATACATCAAATCCTAAGTCATAATTTGAAAACAACATAATCGCTGTCTGAGGATATTTACATGGATTAAATACAAAATATTCTTACCATGTGGAAACAACTTGTGTATGTCTGCAATCTAGTTATTTACACGTCTATCAAATATTTAGTAATAGGGTAAGTTAAAAGGTGGCTAGAGTTGTTCAGCAAACATAAAAGTAGTTGTTTATTTTCAATAATGTTTATAATTAATAAATAATCGTAGAGATATTTTACAACAAGAGAACATTCTATATCCAAAGTCATATCTATTTAATGTTATGTAAAACAGTTACCCCGATTTCTTGTTGTATTTGATTGCGTTAGAACGTGGTCATCAAAAACATTTTTTTTAAATTTATACTCGACGAAAGTTAAAAAACTATATTGTTTAATACACAGTGATAAAGATTAAGAGGACAGAAATTGTTTCCAAATAGCTGTGGGACTAACTACATGATGTTTACGACAACAATGGTCTATTTAACATATTGCATTGAAACTTAAATTAAAATGTCAAAAATACCGGGTTTCCGAAAACGAACTCCCTAGTTTTAAAATGTATTTACTTATTGTACAATATACACATTACAATGACTGATACATTAAATGAAAGGTAATGAAATAATATCCTTTTAACTCTAGTATACTGGATATGCGAACCATTTGTAGCAATGCAGATATCCAAGTTATGTTTACTCATTATTTTTAAACTATTTGTATTATTATTTATTACCAAAACTACGCTCAAGGTCAAACAGGTCTACCAAACTTATTGCTAACGTACGAAACTAAAACTTAAAATTATATTCTAAAGCGCAAAATGATTATTACTCATCAATTTAAACTAATACTACCGTAAAGTATTTTTAAAACTAGTTCTTTAACCTAGGGGTTCTTAACGGACATCCGATAGTTCTAAAACTAGTTAGAACGTCTCTTACATTTTACACATTTATATTTTTGTGTCCTTTGATTTATGATGAAAAGGTATTAACAAGTCATTAAGTTATCTAAAAATAACTAACTCATTTCAATTTTAATTGAGGAATGAATAACCAAACATGGATCTTAAAACATCAATTGCTTCGACTAATAGGAAATTCATCCTTTTTTAAGTTACTTCGCCACCTGCACAATTATTCTGTATAACGTTATTAACTGGTACGCTGAATCTTCAACCACTAATACTCTACTGGCTTTCGTTCACTATTATTAGCACAATATTATAAAACTATACAGACCTACACTTAAGAGTACAGACCGAATCGAATCAAGTATTTCGTATTAAAAAACTTTGATGCATTCGCTCGTGATATACTTATAAAAATACATATTTTATGTTATTAAATTCACAGGTTCAGGGCTTTATATAAGTATTTATCTTTTGCGTAAAACGTTTCTCAATTAAAAAAGCTAACATAAATTTGTTATGTTAGTTACGTTATGTAAATAGTTATGTTATGTAGTAGTGATGTTTCTTCTCGAAATCGTTAAACCATAATACTGCATTGTTGACAATATGAAATTTGAAAAAGAAAGTTTGCCTGTCCCCAATCTCTTTCTAGTTTAATGTTATGTAATGAACTGTTTTGGTTTAAACATTATTTTTTTTATCCTTTATGAACTAAGAACTTCTAAAGAAAGCATGACAGATACCATAAAAATGTTATATTGTATTACTTTGATCAACAAATAAAGTTGACAAAGCTTACTGTTTAAGATGCAAACCCCACGACAAAATAAATAGGGTTGATTAAAAAAATATATGTTATTGGATGTAAATTGACGTTTCTTACCAAGCTGAATGAAATTGTATGTAAAACACTTTTTCTAATAAAAGCGTATATTTACTATGAAATATCCCTATTATACAGGGTGAATAAAAAGTCAAGACCCCCCCTTTAATATTTTTCCCATTAAATATACAGAGATATCCTTTTGGTGGTCGTGCAATCTTAGCAGGAAGTTTAATTTTATGATTTTGAAATTTTGAGTGTCCCCCCAAAAGGGGGGATCTGGGGGGTAACTCAAATATTTTAAATGTAAACCCCCTTCAAGTGACACCTCATTTTGAAGTGATTAGAAAAACTCAAAGAATGGTGAAAACTAGAGGTCATTATCTCTTTTCTATCCAAAATGGTAGCCCGTCAAATGTTGTAGAAAATCAATGGTAAAAATTGGTTCTTAATAGTAATATTGGCTACCATTTTGGCTAGAAAAGAGATAGCGACCTCTAGTTTTCACCATTCTTTAAGTTTTTGTAAACACTTCAAAACAAAGTATAAAAAAATGGGGGTTTACGTTTAAAATTTTTAAGTGTCCCCCCAAAAGGGGGATTTGGGGGGCAACTAAAATCTTTTCAATGTAAACCCCCATCAAGTGACACCTCATTTTGAAGAGGTTACAAAAACTTAAAGAATGGGGAAAACCAGAGTTCGCTATCTCTTCTCTATCCAAAATGGTAGCCAATATTACCATTATGAACCAATTTTACCATTGATTTTCTACAACATTTAACGGGCTACCATTTTAGATAGAGAAGAGATAGCGACCTCTAGTTTTCACCATTCTTTAAGTTTTTGTAAACCCTTCACAATGAGGTGCCACTTGAAGGGGGTTTACATATAAAATATTTGAGTTACCCCTCAAATCCCCCCTTTTGGGGGGACACTCAAAAGTTTCAAAATCATAAAATAAAACTTCCTGCTAAGATTGCACGACCACCAAAAGGATATCTCTGTATATTTAATGGGAAAACTATTAGAGGGGGGGGTCTTGACTTTTTATTCACCATGAAAATGTGAGTTTACTACTACGGATGTTTTTGCAAGAAAATTAAATCAAACCAGGTTTTAAAAGTTACCTTGAAATAGTAAACTTATTTTCAATAGGAATAAATAATTAAAATTCCTCATGGCAATAAAGACTCCTGCACCATTTTTAGTGTTTTAACTACAGAACATTAATTGAGTAAAACGCTAAAATTTACTATGACAATAATAATGATTTATAATCCTGAAAGTGTAATAAGCCTTTAATTTTCAATTGAATATTTTTAAATACAGTTTTTGAGTAAGAGTTATTCTTCTGAATACCTACGTACTCTCTCCTAATTTATCCTGATCATAAAATATTGCAATAGATTAATTCGTTGTAAACAAATAAAGAGATAATATTGTTTTTGGAACAATACGTACAGTAAAACTTACTTTATTAAATAGTACTATATTTTTTTAAGTAAAAAAAATCTACAATACCCAAAAACTACAAATGATTGAAATTTGTATAAACACTAAAAAGTACTTATTTAAGTTTAGAACTTCAAGTTTATTAATTATAAATAGGCAAGCTTTAATTATTCGCAAAAGTTAGGAATGTTACAGATAATGAAAGGTTAACGATTTTAATACAAACTGTATAATATGTAATCAAATAATAGGACACTAGATGATAGATAAAACTGTTTTATATTTTACTTTAATTGGATAAGAAATGAGTTATCATAGTTAATTTCATTTTATGAATGCAATTTTCTTAATTTTTTATTTCCTTGATCTGTGTAATGATTTATTTTATTTAACCAAATCATTTTTAGAATGCTTGCTATTTTAAATTTTTATCAACGAATAAACATTGAATAACACATTTATTTATTTCAATGCAAATACTGTATGATGACTAAACAAACAATTAAATTTTAATAAAATAAAAATATAAAATAAATGTAATATAAATACATGCATAGGAGAATGAAGATATAGAAGTTACTTTATTTTCCAGCGAGAACCAACTTGATATCACTGTCTCCTGAGGTAGCAGTTTGCCTGGATAAAGGACAATCAGCTGGTAATAGGCTTACAAGGGCTCCTTTCTGGATACGTTTATTTTACCTTGGAAATATATTGTCCTATATCGATCACCGAAAATAAAACGAAATTTATTCTCATTATGATACAAAAACAAACAAATAATATCAGATTTTTTGACCTCATCGTAACATTTGAAAAACATTAATGTTCATCTGAGTCATTCAAAACATTATTATTATTATTCGCCTTGAACTGCTTGTACAAGATTTTGTTTAGACTAGTTAGTTACAACGAAAAAACTGCTAATAGTGTCAAAGCTTTCAAGTGACATTTTTTGTTATAAAAGTTTATAGAATGTATGTAGTAAAAGTTTAAACAGTAGTTTACACAATGTGAACTTAATAACTATTTTTAATACGTGGAAATGAAGGATGAATATGTTCGTTGTACAACTGAATTTAAAAACACCAACAAAAAACATTATTGTATGATTAGAATAACTAGAACTCATTATCTCACTTCTGGGATATTGATTTATATGAATGTTTTGTACGTGTTACCTTACAATGTACTTATTCGTCGACCACTCGCCTAAGGGTTTTAAGTATTCTAAGTGAAAGGCGGTACTGTTATATTATTATAATTTACTAAATATACAAACAAAAAATGTCGGTCTTAAATTGACCAGCGACACACTATTGATCTAAATACTAAACTCTTTCAACCTTGCTTCGTTCTTGTAATTATTTAATTAATTACAACAAATATAATACACGCAAAACCGTAATTAAAAATACAACTTGGATACATACAACTTGGGGATATATAACACGGATGTTAATTAACCATGAAATGAAAGCTAAATTAAATTCGAAATCCAGACAAAAACTGGCAACAAAGAGAGTGTTAAGTTGCGTGGAAAACCAAAACCACCGCATTAAATAAAACACCTCACTCGCACCGACGCCAGCGG